TACTGTTGCCATTAAATCCTGAAAATCCAAGCCTGTTTTCTTGATCGCCTGAAATTCTATTTATCGACGTTTCAATTATTGTGAGCCAAACATGCTCCAAACTCTGAAAGGGATAGCAGTGAAGATAGTAAAGTGCATAATCGCTTGGAAAAACTACATTTTGCTGACCTTGTGAAGAATGCCAAGTCAGTTGCAGCTTTTTTCTGCTTCCCGCCAGTTTCAAGTCGGACAGAATGATTAATTTCACATAATCAGCACCTGGCTGCCACGAACAGTTTCCAAATGGCGGCCTTCAAAGTCAAGTTTTGGGCTTCTTTCGAGACGAATTTCTTTAAAATAGCAGGCACTTATTTCACTATATAAGCTGAATCCTTAGCTAGGAGATACATGGCATATAGCTCATTAAATACACAAGTTGGATACTTTTTCAATGCTTTATTTTCCTGTCTTTGTAGTTGATCCCCTACAACAACTACACATGCCTGAATTATGCGGTCATGAATTGAGATATGATCGTGGGACGAGGTTGCCTGGTGAATGGTCTACCGCTGGACTTAAGGCGCTTCAGGCATCTGGCCCTCACTGACAAAGCGCCATAAGTTCCGGTAAACTTGCCGAGCACACTACAGACCTGGGTACACAATCGTCGTACTGAAAAAGAAAGCAGAATATAAAACCTCATCTATTTTACGAATTTCGTTTCCATTTTGATGCCCCGAACAATCTGTCTGGTAACTCGGGTGCAACTTTGGGTTAATTTTTCTCGAAGGAAGCTGAATCTTGGGAAAATCATCACACCGCTTTAGTGCAATGTCACAAAACAATTTCAAATGACAATCGCTAAAACTTGAATTGCCAGCAGCAAAACGTTCCCGGAAATTCAAGAATACATAAAAGTGTTTGATAATGTTAAACTTTGTTCGCATGAGAATTTCTTTAACATCACATCATGCGGTAGTTTGGGACGAATGAGTAAAAATATAAAGTAGTTATGAAGCAAACTAGGCTTACCATGAGAGGGCCAGAAGAACGAGCGCGGCGTGGATCGTTTTCCTCGTCAGCTACCTTGCCCGACTCTGTTGGTGGCGGTGGCGGTTTTGATGGTTTATGTTCCTCGAGGCAGTCATGGATACACTTTCGCTGCAAAAGAAAGCATAATAACGGAGTAACCTTCATGGTTTTCATGACCTTAGTCCATCTTGTTTCCCGGATGAATGGGAGCCAGTTTGTAAGTGACTGACTGTTCTTCAACGGGATTTAGATTTAGCAAAATCTTTGATATGGCTTATGTGCTTTGAGGCACTCCTTCATACACTTTTTCTACAAAAGAAAGCATAAAAAATAATAAACCATCATTATTTTCATGAACTTAGTCTTTATCATGATGCCCGGATATGAATATGTCTGTTTATAGATTTGGGAAATTAGCCATACTACATTGACAAGTTGATTGGTTTTCATTCTGGCGGATTGTAATCGAGCTAAATTTACAAACATCGGTAAAAGTTTCCAAGATAATTCCATTCAATTGCAAACGGAATACTTCTTAGTTTAGTATGCAAATATGTTCTACAATTTTTAACCTGCAAACTAATTGATATTACATTTTATTATTGCTTGTAAATAGCTCTTAGATTGTACACGTCATTTACGCTTTTTATTCGTGGGAATTGTGACGTATAGGGCTAACCTCATGATTTCCATTTCAAGAGTTATTTTTTTCTCTTTTTAACATATTATTTAGCTCTTAAATAAAGTATTGTGATTGTGAGCATTGAAACACTCCTAAAAACTGAAAAAAAAATTGCTACCTTGAGAATCTATTTAACTTTACAACATGAAACAATTTGTTTCAAAGAGGGGAACTTCCATGTAGAATGGTCGGGTATGGTGGTCAGAAAGTTGATGACTTTAATGGTGAAATAGTGGTGCTTTTTCCCCTGAAAACTCTAAGCGAGACCAAAATACTTGATCTAAATCCCAAAGGGAGACAACGAGCATTTCCGATCTTTTCATATAGGCGTCCCCCCTTCTTTATCGGGTAATTTGGGACGAACGAGTGAAAATAGAAAACAGCTACGAAGCAAGCTGAACTTACCACTTTAGGCGGTAAAGAAGGATGATGATTATCACGGTGAGCTCGAGGATCGTTTTCCTCGTCAGCTAGTTCGCCCGGCTTCGTTGGCTTCATGCATTTTTCCTTGCACTTTTTCTGCAAAAAGAAGGTTAATGGTGTAACTCTCATTATTTTCACAAACTTAGTTTCTATCTTGATCTCCGGACTAATCTGCCTGACAACTAGGGTGTCACTGTGAGATTATGTTCCTACCAGTTAACTGAATATTAGAACATCACTAAACGTCTTGATTAACAAGCTAATTGGCAAGGCTGTCTGGTGGATTAAAACGGACGATTTTAGAAGCATTTCGAAAAATTTTCCAAGGCTTAAGACTCCTTTAAAAGACTATCAACCATCAATAAACTCAATGGAGACGACTGAATCTTCATCGAAAAATTTAAGAAAACAAGTGGGTAAATCACACTGTTCATAGTAGAATTTTCCTTAGAATTTGCTACCACAAGTTGGGAACGAAACACATATATAAAGCAAACTATTCAAGCTTACCAAGACTGGGCGGGGGCGCTTTATGGGGTGGATCATTTTTAACATGGGTCTCGGCGAAAGCGGCGGTAGCTCCAAGAAACAGGACCAGTATTAGAGAGTTCATTTTGGGCACTGTCTTTGCTGGTTCGCAAAGAAATATGATTAGCACAGCTCATGCCCGCCCTTTTTATAAGCCTGTGAGATTGGGATTGCATCTAAATTGACAAATCGGAGAACGACGAAGTCTTTGTTAAGGCCTGGTTTGCTTCCTAAGCAGCGGGCAAAAGGTAAACAGTTTTCTCAGCTGATATCAATAGTGAGGGTTTATTTACTTACTGCACGCACGTTTCCTCGCATTGTTGCACTTAAGTCGACTTTCCTTTTCAAAAGAACGCACATTTGACAATATCTTGAGTATTTTCAGATTTTCCTCTCTTGGAGAAGACCCAAAGTGACTTTGGTCACGTTATCACCTTGGTTACGTTTTTGTAGATGTAAAGTGCTCAATACAAATACATTGTCAGAGTTCAAATAACAGTAACTCTAGTGAGTTATGTAAACTTTTTGCACTCTTTTTTTCGGGACCACAAAACCACGTAAACTAACATAATAAAATTGCTTACTATCCTTTGGGCAAAAAAAAAATTTTTATTTAAACAAAGTACTGCAAACAAAGATATCTCTACGTAAAGGGTATATTTTGTTTTTGTACGTGGAGGGAAAAAACAAGTTTACTTGGTGGATACAAAAAAGTCTTTACAGCAGTATTTGAACGCCTAAAACCTTTGTAACCTCCCCTTCCATCACCTGCCTCGTTTTCCTCAGTTAACTTCAGTTTCCTTCTTGAGATAAACAAGTTTAGTTAATTAAAAACACTTCTTAATTTGACAGGGCCATGCGTACCACAATTCAAACCACAAAATGTCTTTTTGCTTGAAGTCGCCCTTAAACATAAAACATTTAATTTTGCGATTGAAAGCAGTAAAGATAAAAAAAATCTTCATGAAACGGGATATTTTTCTTTTGTGCAAGATGTAAACACAGTCCCTTCTGGCAAACATAGAAGCCACAAGGTTTATTCTGCAGACACAAAGATCCCTTTACAGTACATGTTTGTATTTTTAGAACGCAAGAAGTCCAGCTGTTATTACACATAAAGCCTATAAGCACTGAGCCGGCTAGGGATTCTGAGAGACTTGGCTTGGGATATGACACTTGGTAAATTAATATGATATGAGAAACAGATCCTTCGTAATGCAGTCGAAAATGCTCTGTATATGCATGCATAGACTTAAACTACCTTAAAATCCTACTTTAAAGCTCTGGGCTTGTATAACTTCATAAGGGGTTTTGGGTGAGCTTATAAACGGGGGAGGATTATATCAGGGGGGGGGGGGTTTATAAGCGGAGTAAAAAAAATGTCTCGGAACGACGTGAAATTAGCGTGAACCAAGGAAGGCAGCGGAGGTCACTTGGTTATTAGAGGTGGAATTGAATTACCATGCGAGTATTACATTTACGGGAGCAATGAACACAAAGCGCAAGTGAGGAAAAGAATACGGAAGGCTCAGAGTTTATTGTCGGGAGGCTACAAAAAATCTGCGTGCATGGAAGACTGCCGGATTGTAGCTGGCTGTTTGCTTTGTCATCGTACTCCAAAACATTGTCGTTGAACATTTGTGTTGTAAATGAACAGAGGAGCAAAACTCATAGCGGTGTCATATATGCATGAATATTTGTTTTGAATTCTTTCTTTGGTATAGTTATAATTATTGTTCTACACTCCACAGCCATTTGTTTATGCCTACAACTTTCGAATAAAAATTTTGATGTTTGTAAAGACACGCTAAAGGAACGCACTGATACATTAGATGGGCTTATATCTGGAGGGGTTATATCCGGGGGGGGCTTCTATCCGGAATAATACCTTTGTTAGCAAATAGATGGGCTTATTTCCGGGGGGGGCTTATAACAGAGGGCCTTTAAAGTAGGATTTTACAGTTTACTATCTCAAGACTTACAAAGTAAGACATGAACGAAAAATTACATTTTGAAAAGTAGGACTACAGACCCACAACCGAAAGCTTGAGCCAGACAATTCTTTTATAACGAGGCGACTAAATCCGGTCGGAAAGAAGCCCGCAACAGACAACTTTTGGGGGGACGGGGGGATGAGTCCAAGTCTCTGTCGTGCTTAGTACAGTACAGATAGGCCAACTTTCTCTGCTCCAACCTCCACTAAATGTCCCGATCATTTTATCATTATCAGCCGCATGCAAACGTTACATATTCCGGCAACCTCACATGCAAATTAAGCAGACCTGGTCGGTGACGGCTTTTGACGACGAGAAATCACTTTAGGTGTGACAACTTAAACACCCACGCCCACAGACAAGGAAGTTCCGAAACAGGAATAGCTGGAACATGAATTACTATCCCACGCTGCTTTGCGCCTTTATGTTGTGATCCATGACTCCATTTGAGATCCTTTTTCGCGCCCAACATCCTAACAAGTGTTTTGCTCGTGGGAGTAGGATCACCGAGCACCAGTCTTCCTGATCGTGGCCACTTGAGGGCGATGGCGAACACATGGTTGTCCTTAGATGTGTACCTGTAAAATGCAGAGATTATGGATGTAATAAAGTCATGGAAACCAAGGCTTTTTTTTTTGCGCGATCAAGGTGGCTGATGAGTTGTAATTTAAAGGGAAATTGAATTTTCACGGTAATTTCAAATCATCCGTTTAAACGAAGTAAGACGATTTTCCGGCAATTAAGCAGAGATACTTCTGAAAGTAATAGGGAGCTTACGAAATCACGACGGCAACGCCGAAGACAACGTCGATTAGCATATGTAATAGGACTACATGCTGTCCAATTTGGAAATAATTGGATGAATAAAATTCTGAGGACAGCCAAAATTGGACGAGGCCGTTGGCCGAGTCCAATTTGGCAGTCCGAGGAATTTTTTGAATCCAATTATTTCAAATTGGACAAGCATGTAGTCCTATTACCTATTAATTATATAGGATTCAAAAACAGATGAACAAGGCAAATATTTTATCCTCTAAAGTACAGTATTCCTCCATTCGCTTTGCACAGCACGTCACAGGTCAAACACTTTAACACAGGTTTTTTGCTTCTTTGAGTGTTGTTGTTCTGATTATTCTCCCTCATCTCGAGTAAATCAGTAGCATCTATTTCTGGAAACCTAGCCAAAGACTCCATTTGAAAGTTTAGACGTCAAAAACGTGGAGAGAAAAGTCGGGAAATTCCGCCATTGACATAAGAAAACTTAGCGAGCTAAAATCGCTCGGTGACGTTTGATGGCAGTGATAATAGCTGCAACCTGATTGGCCAATACTCGGTTCTTTTAATTATCTTGACATTTCATTGATTGATGAAAAGTATCCAGATTTTTCTCAAATTGGACAGTTTGTTCAAAGCTAAACTAAACGTTCGAGCAAAAACTATCCAATTTATTTTAAATTTGGACAGTTTGCAAAAATTAATAAAAAATAGTTCTGTCAGCAATATTGAATTTTGATGGAGATATATAATTAAAAAATGAATTTATATCTTACCTACGAATATCGCGGTACTATAAAGTCATTTACTTTGTTTATCACTGTCACAACTATCACGAAGCTGAATCTAGGATACATCGATACATTCGAAAATAAAAATTTAAAAAATTAACTGTCGTAGTTCACGTTTTCCAGACAAGGCAGAATTTGGTCATTTCACATTGTTGTTCTGCGGAGGACGACAAAGAAATGTGTTAAGAATTATAACGCACGTGCACAGCCATTGTTCTCTCATTAAACCTTTTGTTTAGCGACGTTGCCGTTGCCATTGCTGTCGTGGATTTTAAGCTCTCAGTATGGGGCAGGCATTAGTGAGGAATGAACCTTTTACGGCTGTTGCAATAACCATGCACTATTGGAGAAATGAGGACTATCTACCTCTTCCTTTACTGTTGAATATTTATTTTTCGTCTTGTTCTTCAATGCGCCGAACAATTTTAATGCCTCGGCACTTCAACGCCAAGTCTTGGCATACCTGTTTCTCTTCCATCGAATCCTTAGTGATTCCGGCCTCATTGGGGTTTTTCTCTGGTACGTTTTATTCAAATTTTTCCCATTACCTTAGAAATCCCCTTCCCTCAGGGCTCCCTCCCGCTCAGGTGCTGGATTTCCACCTCCCACATCTAGACCGTCTACTCTTCAACAACAAACTTAGTGTACACTGCTTCTACCATTGTCTTCACTGTCTTGCATAAACGTGATAATAAGACAACGCAAATTTTTAATCAGTAATGTGCATGGAGTTCTTAATAACGCACCACACTTTTCCACTGATTGAATCGTTCTGAGCTCTCCACGGCCTGGTTCCATAAATAGCGTCACCGTTCACTTTCAGCCAATCTCCCATCTGAGTGAGACGTTCTTGGAATATCGGTGCAATTGTACCGTCTGAGGCTGGGCCAATATTCATCAGCAAGTTACCACCACAGCTGCCGAGAAAAGACAGTAAATTGAAACCTGTGAGCTACCCTTCTCGTCTCTAAATTAAAGTCAGGTAGGTTGGTTGTTTTAAAACGACAACCGTTTTGCCGATGATGTAACCAAAATAAATGGATGGCTTTAGGGGCGAAAATCGTGAGATACTTGCACGACTTCAAACTTCTCAGAACAACACAACTTGTCTTGTCTTTTTCTCTAAAGGCTGGTTTTCACTATAGCTAGCTAGCGACCGAGTCGTAGTCGAATTCGTAGTCGGGATCGTAAGAGAGCTTACGACCTAGTGAGAATCAAAAATCGCTGTCGTAAGCGGAGTCATAAGCTCGGCGAAAGTCTGAAGGATCAAAACGTTTCCACTCTTTCCGATCCCGTTTACGACTCCGTCGCTTATGATCCAGTGAAAACTAGATTGTCGGAGTCGGAAGCAGAAGCGGAAGAACCAACCAATCTCAAGGCCTGGAATCGAACATTGTGATTGGTTTATTCCTCCGCTTCTGCTTCCGACTCCGACCATCTAGTTTTCACTGGATCGTAAGCGACGGGGCCATAAGCGGAATGGGTGTTCTGCTTCCTACTCCGTCGGTTTGATTTTCATTAGATCGTAACACTCTACGCTACTGATTACGACTCCGACTACGAATCCGTCCCAGGTGAAAACCAGCCTTAAGACGTCAGGAAAATTAAATGGTATATCTTAGACACAGCTACCTGAGGGAGGGCTTGGAATGGCGTTATAATCTTCCCCAAATTTAATATTTCTTATTTCTTTATAAGCAATTTGCTATCATCTCTTCAGTGCTTCTATAGCTTTCTACACTATTATATTGAGACCTTCTACAATTTGGTGGTTGCTGTCTACACAGCGCGTAGCGTAAAATTTCAAATTTACAAGTCCAAAAAGATGCAATTAAGAAAGCGTTAAGATCCTCTTTACGCGTCTGTACGAACTTCTACATAACAAACTTTGTTTTGAAGGAACTGCGTCGTCGATAGAGCTTCATACCGGCCCAGTGACTGAAACCGACCAAAAGTATGTTAATTTAGCAGTTGTCGCCTGGGTGTCGCAAAGTGATCAGTCTAAGGCCCCGTCTACACGTATGCGGATATTTTTGAATCCTCAACTTTTTCTTTTCGGATTCAAAAATTTCCCCGTCCACACGTAGCGTATTTGAATCGAATTCGCCCGTCCACACGCATCCGATGGTATCCGGATTCACTCTAGAGAAACTAGGCCTACGCGTTGTGCCGCCATGTTGGTTTATTGTTCGGTAAGAGACTGGACACGATTTTGCTACGTCGTCGGATTCGAAAATATCCGGATTCGCCGTCCACTCGTTATCGGATTCGTTGCGAGTTTATTTTTTCCACTCTGGAGAGCGGATTTAAAAATATCCGGATTCGCTGCTGAATTCGCCGAATGCGTGTGGACGGAAGTCGTATCCGGAAAGAAAAAGTTGCGGATTCAAAAATATCCGAATACGTGTGGACGGGGCCTAAAAGACTCGCGCCAATCATCCATAGGAAAAGAGATGGCGACTGGTACATTTACCCATAGTTCGTAGCGCAAGACAACCTTAACAACGCTCATGAAAACGTACAGAAATCTTCAAACCTAAGCTACACAAAGTCCTCAGTACAGGAACAAATATTGTAAAGATTTGGTTTTCTTTGTGCCATGGAGGCTGTGTTAGGCTCGCAAGGTATTGTGGTAAAATGTACAGCCGCCATCTTTTTCCTGCGGTAGATTTCTCAACGATTATGAAGTAAAACGACCAATCGTGACTCCTTCGCTCGCGAACTCGAGCCACCTAGCTGGTTTGTTAAATGTCTCATGTTGCTTTGTTAACTGTATTGTCTGTGGTCATTGCTTGTGATTGGCAGACTGGAGTGTACCTAAGTTTTGGTCTTGCGACACTTGAAAATCATTTTAAGATCTACTCTGGAAGCTTATGTTTGTTTTTACCTCACAGTACTGGCCAGTTGTTTAATCAGTTCTTCAATTTTAAGGTAGTCTTTAAGATTTGCTTCTCGACGAAATCCCCAGGAATGTCGATCTATGGTCATGGCGTTCTCCCACTTCATCTTCTGAAGTTTACCTACAATGCCAATCAATGCTTCAATGTTAGATAAATTTCAAACATTTCAAGTTTGTTTTAACGACTTGTTTTAATTCTGACAAGCTAAAGGATCTATGATAACAATCTAACCGTGTTATACTGTCATGTCCAGCACGCTTTGCGAACAAAAATATTAATTTTGTAGACATAATTTTCAGTGACACCGGTGACTGAGTCCATCGTGAGTTTATGACGAATTAATACGTTTTCAGCCACAAAGGAATGACTTCGCTAAANTCTGAAGTTTACCTACAATGCCAATCAATGCTTCAATGTTAGATAAATTCCAAACATTCCAAGTTTGTTTTAACGACTTGTTTTAATTCTGACAAGCTAAAGGATCTATGATAACAATCTGACCGTGTTATAATGTCATGTCCAGCACGCTTTGCGAACAAAAATATTAATTTTGTAGACATAGTTTTCTGTGACACCCGTGACTGAGTCCATCGTGAGTTTATGACGAATTAATACGTTTTCAGCCACAAAGGAATGATTTCGCTAAATAATTAATAAACTGATCCTTCCGGCAGGGAGAGAGGATTAAGAATTCAATTCAGCTGTTCAATTTAATTTTAATTTTAACTCTCGGAAACATTAATTTTACAGAGGTGCCAGAAAAACATAGAATTCATATAAATATATACAACACATATAAATATATAAGACAGAAATCAAAAACAAAAATAGATTAAATCTAAAATACGTTTGCCCAACATTACGGTTTGAAAAAAAAAAAGCCTTCTTTAAGAGCTAGAAGAAAAAAAAATGAGTTTTTACCTTAGATGATAGTTTACATAAAAGTTCAAAAATATGAGATATTAATAATGATTGCAAATTGGTCAAGCGAGACTCGCAAATTCTATTTAGTCCTGGCGGCTCCATTGTTCTGGCTTTGTCAATAAGGTGTGTTTGGCGTGTTTTAGGGTCGCACCTACTGACCTGGGTTGTACCTATCCTGTCCAGTATAGACACCGCCATGATGACATCGACAGCCCCGCCCCCATCTGTCATTAATTACCACGTTGTCCTTCACAGGGCTGTGAACACAACATGCAATCATAGTTTATTGTTAAACTGTATATCCATATGTAAAGCTATGCCAAATCGGACGCAGTTGGGGTCCATAAAAACCCAAATAAGCCAAAACAATTCAACGACGCCTGGACAGCCGTCATCTGCGAAGGTAATCCCACTCGGGAAAGATAGTGCCATCTTTCCCAATGGCGGAGCCAATCAAAGTGCAGGTTTTGTAAGGTAAGGTAAGGTAAGGTAAGGTAACTTTATTTTAAGTCGTAAATATGGGTTGTGGCGAGCCAGGGGCTCATGACAAAAACGCATAACTGTTTACAATAACATTACTACATACAAGTTCAATTTTGTTTCAGTCATATCTTTCTAAATCGATTTAATGATCCCTTTACCAATTCTTTGATGATCCATTCTGACGTCGTTTCGCTTACTTGACTTGATCAAACACAAGAAATAGATCGATTTCATGATCCTTTGACCAATTCTTTGATGATGCATTTTGTCGTCGCTTTGTGCGTTTGACAGGATCGCGGCGGAGTGCAAGGGGCAGGAGTTTTAAAAAATGCTAATTTACAGACCTAACAGAATACGTAAAACATCTCTTGACGTTTTCTTTCCTTGGTAGGAACAACTCATGCAGAACTTTTTCATCGCGCTAAAAAACCGTGAACGTCGATCATATAACGTTGAACTTCTACTACCCATTTGATATTTAGGCCGTTGCACGTTCACCTTTCACGCACCTGTAGGACAACCTTTTAACAGATACCTTTTATTAAATAGCCACGTTAGAAATTCTTCACTCTTCCAGTACGACGCTTCGGCTTCCCAGTCTCCATCTGTCCACAGGTAATCAGGTTTGTACGTATTAACAAGGTCATATAGCTGTGGCTTCACTACAGCCTGAGGAAGAAACACAACACAACTGCTGATTATATGATCCTTCCAGTCCCAGCCTTAAACATTTGTACTCATTACTGAAAAAACTCCCGTGATTTTACATAACATGCACACCATGAACTTTGATGTTCATTTTTTCATATCACAGCTTTCTTTGGAGTGATCTTTCAAACTCCCACCTTGGATTTTTATTTAACTAATATCTCGAAGGCCGGATCTTCAGCAAAATGTGTTCTGATTTACTGATTAGGATTAATGTAGAATGCATTTGGAGCTGTCTATCTTTGAATCATTTTTACATTAGCAAATCCGAGCAGTTTTCTGCTGAAATTAGAAATATCTGGACTGCGAGTAATCCACGTGTGAATTGACTGATTGATCACTGAAACGTCCACCCTTGTTTTTGTACTCTAGTAATATCTTGAACAAAACGCATTCTGATCTGCTGATTTGAATTAATGTAGAATGAGATGTGTATCAAGAATCATTTTTAAACTGGCAAATCTAAAGAGTTTTCCGATGGAATGAGCTGGACTGCGAGCAATCGCTACGTGTGCTTTGAATGTGTGCAATAAAATTCACGTACCTGAATATATTCATCGGTTTTAAATCCATTGGCTTTGTCTTTTAAGTAATGAGGGTTAAACCACTCAAACAAAGAGTAGTACAAACCGAATCTCACTTCTGGATCACTGAGACTGCGAAACGCTCTTGCAAGTTCATCTAATGAATGAGTCAATCAGAAGTCCGCATATCAGATTTATCAATCAATAATTTTCATTTGGCTCACCCCCTTCCCGCCCTTCCCCTCTCTGAACCACTTTAGGCTTTATATCGATTGGTCTCGATGTCTTCCGCCGCCGTTGCATGTATTTGCCTTGTCACACGGATAAGGCTTATTCGGTTCTCACGGCAAGGACAAACGTTATTTCGGTCATCAGGCGTGACAACTTGAATAAAAGCTGCGAAGAGAGCCTGTATAGTACACGTTATTCACACAATTCCCGACAGTCAGTCCGCATATCACATGACATTCCCATCATTCGGTAGCAAAAAAACAAAAGATCATTGGAGATCAAGACGGGTCTCAGATTCAACCTGAAAAACCATTCCATATCTATTGCGCTGTAGATCTAGAGATGATCATGATCAGTGCATATGGTCTGGTCCGAGACCCCGGCCCTGAAGGAGAGGGGGTTCTCATTTGTTAGCCAAATTCTGCGCAAAATCCATTTCCCAGACTAGTTTTTGCCCAAATGTCAGTGCCATGGCCACTTTTTTGTTGGTGATTTCCAGTCTTAGTGACCCAAATTCCATTTTCCCTGTGTAAAAATAGGCAAATACCACTTCCCGTTTTTACCTATTTTAGGCTCTTCTTGTCTGCATGGTTTAGAATTTTTGTGCACAAAGATATACCCGTCGATCCAAGCACTACACGGACATCTGTAAAGCTTAGTCCCCAGTATAAAACTGTTTGTTGCGGAATCATGCTCGAATCTTGGAATTAGTTTAACTTAATGGTAGCCTGGGTAGCAAGCGTTCCCGTACGAACGAAACGAAATCAAACGAAATCGGGGTTAATTTTTCGCATTCGGGCCGCGCGAAAAATGGGGCGAGAGCGAAAAGAACGAAAGAGCTCTTTCGAGCGGCCCGCTTGTTACGCGGGCTAACTTTACGGGTCAGCCATGTACATGTAAGTATGTCTGAAAACAGTTCTCACCAACAATGTTTCTGTGAGGCCCGATGTCAACTGAATTCCAATTCCAAGCCACACTTGAATTCCAGTTTGTAAATCCCTCGTGGTGTTTGCTTGTGAATACAAAGTACCTAAAGCAGTCATATTGAAATCAGAATAATTTACAGAATAATTAACTGATACAAGCTAGAAAAGAGGAGAATCGAGAATCGAGAGATAACTGAGATATCCATGAGAACTGAGAGGAGAGGAAGATTAAAGAGATGAAAAAAGAAGATAGGAGGAGAGAGCGAAAGATATTTTTTCCTTGCCTTTTGGCAATGTATAATTTGTTCTATATTTCTTGGTGAACAAACACTTAATCTTCTTCGCAATCATTCTCATAGACATAAGAGATGTTAAGCCGACAAGGGCCTTTCACTACTACGTCGAACATATAGAAGGATTTAACTACCTTAACATGCTTACCTTGCCCCAGATCTAGCCACAAGTTTTGCCCACTGTTTAGCATCAAAGAACTCTGCTTTGAACATTGGAGCAAACTCGTTATAGCTGAATCCCGGAGGAAAGTTCTTTCCGGTGTAGTTTAAGTATTGCTGCAGTTGTCTTCCCTTCCATTTGTACCAAAACCATTCACTGTCAAAACTGGGCACAGAATAGACTCCCCAGTGAACAAATATTCCAAACTTGGCATCGTCGTACCAAGAAGGAATCGCTCTTTTGTCCAGCGATTTCCAAGAAGGAGAAAACTTCTGCGAGTCCTTAAACCTTAACTTTTTCTTTCTTCTGTGAGCTGTTGACTTTTCCTTTTTATCCACGGTCGACTTTTTATACCCACGATCGTGGTGTTTATGTTTGTGAGGATGACTCTTATAATGTGCTGACCTAACAGAACTCTTTCTTGCAGCTTTCTGTTCCCTGGAGCTCTTATGCGCTGAAACCTTTTTTCTGTTATTTCTGGATGTTCTTGGCAGGACCTTACTTTTTCTTTCAGTTTTCTTTGGCTGCGATGTTTTTCGCGCTCCATCGTGTTCGTGTCTGTGTGATTTCGATGCCTTATTGTGACTTCCGACTCTCCGGTCCTCGGAATTTTTGTGCAATTCGTTCTTTTTTGCATGAACATGCGTGTGTTTTATAGCCTTTTTCCTTTTGTTATACTGAGATGAATGAGGACGAACTGGCTCCACATCAAAACCTTCGATCCTCAAAGCCTTTGGTGGGACTACAGCTATGAAATCTCGCTTGTTAGATTTTCTATGAGTTCTACCATTAGCCTTGTGATCGGCTCCATTATCTTTGTGCTTTGCCTTATCAGTATACTTTGCTGTGTGTTTCTTATGGCCTGTGTCTTTCTTGTATTTTGATTCTCCATGCTGACGGGAGTAAGAAAATTCACGCATAGACGACAATTTGTTTGCATCCTGATTTCCGTACTTCCTTGCCTTTTGATGTGTCTTGACATTACTTTTTATTCCTGCATCTCGTTTAGTGTTAATTTTCTTTTTTCGACCTGAATGCTTTTCCCCTTTTTTGAATTTTCTTTTCTTTGCTCTATGATCAGAAGACAATGGTTGAGACCAAATGTAAGTCCGCCTTGAACCCTCTTCTTTCACATTGTAATAAATTGGCAACGCAAGTTTTTTGGATCGCTGATGTTTATCAAGGTGATTTCGACTAGGTGTTTGATGGTGGCTCTTTTGTTTTGAAGTGAGCTTTCGCCGCTTGTGCGTAGAATGATCTGAACTCAATGTCTCATCCTTTCTGTGATTCTTGTTCACACGATCATGAAAGTGCTTGTGTTTTCCATTGCTGCTAGATATCTGCGATTCTAACCTGTCATGGTGATACCTCTCAGATAGTTTCTCAGTTTTTCGACTGATCGATTCCTCATCGTCGTTTGTTATTGTTTTTCCAGCTTGATCGTAACCGTGATGTTTTCGTAGATAATCAAGGACGTACTTCTTGAGCTGTGCGCGATCGAATAAAACATGTTCAAGGTTCACAAAGTTGTCATTTTCCTTGGATTGTCCTTTTGATACATGTAAAGGTCTCTCGTGACCGACCTTGATCCGTGTTTGCTTTTTGTGACCGCGCAAGTTAACTCGTTCATCGCGCCTTGAATCATGTTTCACTTCTCTTCCTTTATGCGATTTTCCTGTTGTTGAAGGATCAGGCGAAGATTTAACTATATGAGCTACCAACAACAAACACAATAAGACAAACAAATCTCTAACCATTGCTCCGTCAAGAAAGGTATCCTTTTGAAGGAAGAGTAAGACTTTACCCATGAATGATTAATAATTCTTCAAAGACCTGTTTTTTTCTTCTATACTATGGCACCAAAGCGTTCAACCTGAAAATTTGCATAGGACTTCAGGCGTGGCGGTCATTCTCTCTAACTCAAACTTAATGAGAGCAGAATTAACGAGGAAGAAAGGAAGGCTTAGGGTTACGTACGTTTTTCTACGCCGAGCGATTCGTATTGTCTGAAAATATCGCTTCTAATGTCGGCTGCTGCAAAGGATTACCCATCGAGATGCCCGCACTGCCTCCAACCAGCGGTGTTAGCTAGTATAGGAGAGAGACTGGGAAAAAGAACTCAATGATTCAAGATGGCAGCCATCTCTTAGTGTGCGCTGAAAAAAAGTAATCGAACTTGGTTGTTTTAGTGAGATTCATGACTTCCAAACGTTCGCGGTTAGATGCGGATGGTTTTCCAGAGAACTTCACTTCTAATAAGCGCCCTGTACCAGACTCAAGTGACGGAGATACCTCCATTTCGCCGGACGGAGACGGCCATTTTGGTGGGTTTGCTTTTATTTCTTTCCAGTTTTAATTGTACGTGGAGTTTCCCAGATAAAGATATAAACAGTTACCTTCAATTGGCGCAGAAATATGTATAACTTCTTAATCAACATGTCGAGTCAGTAATTTAACAGTTTTCACTGTATAGCATATTCCATGATAAGCCTCAGACCACTTCATGGATTGAACTAGCAGCAACATCTACCGACTGTAATTAAGCTTAACATAATTGAAGCAAATTAAAGATTTCCTTGTTTCACCTTTAGCAAAGAACAAAACTCTAATTATCGTTGGAAACAATAAGACCTCTTGCAGCTGTTCAGTTGCAATTAATTTCCCCTTTCTCCTTGTCATCCATGCGTACATGTATAGACTTTGAAGCACCAAGTGATACAAAAGCTGCCATATTATTCCTGAAGTCAGTTGTTCCACTGAGCAAGTTTGAAGGGAAAATTCCAGCTATTATTCTCAAGCATCAGATATATTGTGTGGTGAAAGACAAAACACTGGTTGACAGACAGTTGGTAAGTTGTATCGCACAAGTCATGTACCTCCAAACCTCTTTAAATGTGATCATGAAAGGGGCAGAGCTAATTGTCCATATTACACAGGTGTCCTTATTTTAGAGCTAAAAATTATGTCATTCTGATTTCTCTGGGATCACGTGAACTACAAAGAGTTGTAGTATTACACTGATGTTCATAGTGAGAGGTTCAAAAATGAACTCAGTCACGCTATTTCTAATCATTGAAAGATCCAAACCCCTCAAAATCAGTCAGCCACGAAGACAAGTTTGTGAAGCATTTTCCTCTGTTTCCAGGATGTTTCTGTACACTTATTAAAAGCTGTCATGAACTTTTGACTCTTCTGTAGCCTTGATCTTCACACCTGTAACAAATTTGTTACCTATTGAGTGAATTGTATCTACTATAGTCCAGTTCACCCATGACAGCA